TTGAAAATGCATCGAGATGATTTTATTCGTGTTTCGCTGCAGCAAACCGAGGGTCAATATCTCATTCAAATGTGCCTTCGCCCCGGTGCACTCCATCCATTATAATTTCCAATAAGCGCTCATGTTTACGCGGTGATTAAGCAGGAGATTTGGGGGCAGTGGAACGGTGCAGATGACTAATGTTTGGAGCTCGGTGATGGTCCTGCGTGGAGAGGCCTTCTGGATGCCTGTATATAGGATATGCACCGCACGTCCTCACACGGCACAACCAGCGCTCTCCAGTAGTAATAAAATATGAATTTATGAATGTTGACAAGCCATCGTGCCCGTGAGCTCTCATGCGCAGAGACTCACCTCCGCCTGCCTCTTCCACAGAATAAAACGAGTTTGCACTGATTTTGCCTCCCTTTGTACTATGCGCAATGGTGGATTCTACTTTCTATTTTTCACCAAATACGTTGACGTTAAAAGGTGATTATTTAAAACTTTTAAAAATGCATTTGCGCACAGCCTGTTGACATTTGTACCACTTGCATTCTTCTTCTTCTTCTTCTTCAACTACTCTTCCTATGCTGTGCGTAAAGGAAAACATTTTATATTTTAGCAAAGTATTTTGTTTAAATCGACTTCAATCATGTGCACTGATTGTTAAGAATAGCCTATAATGTAAAGAGATTTGGTGCACATTGGCCAACATACAATAAACTAGTGTTATACAGCCACACTAACTCAGTGTAGATTGCATTGTATACTGTGTCCCTATAAAATTCAAATAACACACAGCACCACACCATCTTGTGCTGTCTCTTATTGCAGCACATTCAAAACTAACAAAATACCCACTCATCTGTTCTGTTTGACCTCTGACCTCACAGGAAGTCGTATACAGTTACATTGACGTTAGTCACACCTGATCAACCATGTAGCAAAAGTACATGCAAACCGAAAAACAGGTTTCACATCCATGTTCGTGAAGAGATTTCAAACAGATAACTTGCAACCAAATGATCGGAATGCACACTCTTTATTTGTTCTTTGTTTTAGTATTATTTATGCTCAGTGATTCAAAATACATAATCGTAAAGGTGCACTGTGTAACTTTTTGGTTGGATATGTCATTGCTCTGCTTTGAAGCTTCCACGGTGTGACTTTAAACAAATCTACCTTGCGTTTATTCAATTACAGGTGTTTTTATAGCTCAAAAATACCTAGAAAAGGGCATTCTGACTGTGAGCGGGGTCGCCTCTCCACAGATCTGACCTGTAACTTGGCCCGGTTTGGTCTCCATGAAGATAGAAAGTTTTAATTCCATACTGTAAAACATTCCAGACAAAGCAATGATATCTCCATTGTGCAAAGCTGGTAGAAAAGTTACCAGAAAAGTTACACAATGCACTTATAACTCATATTTTTGGAGCGGTGCAATATTTTCAAATGGCAACCAAAAGAAGTAGTATCATGTCCATTTTTCATGCAATAAAGTAATAAAAAGGTGCATGATTCTTATGTGGATTGCAAGTCTATTCCAAGGTTGTTTTTATCATTGACCTCTGTAATCTTGCTTCTCATTGTATCACACAAAAGTAGCATCTTATGCCACATGGAATACTCACCGTTCAGATGTATTTCACATTTGAAGCACTCTAGAGCATAGCTAAATGACACAAATGGGCACATCTTTGGCCTATGCTGTTTATAGGATATCATGTGAAAGCCATAAAGAGCATCAGGTAAAGAGCTTAGATGTAAATGTTTGGGCTAATGCTAAGTGTGCTGAAACCTCAAATATATCTTTATAATTGATTACTACGTTGGCTTATATTAGTTATTGCCATTTCTTGCAATCCACAGAAAAATATCCTAAAGCTGGATGAGCAAAATCTGGTATGCGTATATGCAATGGACTCTTAGATCGTAGATAAAGTCTTGTATTGATTACTCTGAAAAGCTCCTCATTAGCAGAAAGAAACCTACATACGGTAAACAATAATGTCAGATTCATGTCAACACTGTTATGCATCATATTTGATTTCTTATCATTTTTATTAATTATTTATTTTGTAGACTTTTTATGATGCTAATTATACTCTGATCAACTTTGTTTTTTGTGTAAAATTAATAAATAAAGCTCAGACAGAACTTTTTAATGGCGTTTTATTAGGCTGTTTTTTTCCCCCCTCATGAATTCTGTGCAGTTTAAAGTGGAAGATATTGTAATCCAATGTAAAACTAAAAAAAAATTATAATGTATTCATCCTTGGAGATATTTGGTTTCTTGTGATTCATAATAAGATATTTTTGGTGATGGACAGTGTCAGGGGCAGTGTCCAGTATTCCTGCCGGGGGAACTGTCCCCTCCTCAGGCCTCAGAGCACCACCAGACCCGGGCCTTGCTCGAGTGTCAGTCTCCATTCTCCAACCTCAGAATGTTGAACTTTCACCTCGACCTCGAGCAAGGACCTTTTTATTATTTTGTACGTGCGTAGCCGTTGACCATTCTTACCTCCAGCTACTGGCCACGGAGGCGCGCATGCACACACTCACACATGCAGCCCCGGCGCTGGGGTGGATCGATAGGGCAGCATCTGCTCCGGGAAGCCGCGGTCCCACACGGTGCACTGCTCCGCGCTCTGCAAACCAGAACTGCTCATCTCTGAAAATTAAACTGACAGACTCATGTGATTAGTATGCCTTGCCTCGGCCCGCTGTCTGTCGATGTGTCTGCCTGTCTGCCCTGACTATGCACACTGTATTATGACTATGCATGCGACCATGGGATTTCACTTGGACAGTGGTGGGAGGATTCAAATTTGTACTTCTGTTTTTACATGTTAAATACACTGGAATCGAGCGTCTGGGTGTTGTGCGTAAAAGTCGATTTATGATGTTTCTTTCGATTCATTGTTTTCTTTTTGACAGTTTCACAATGAATTCATCTATACCCTCAATACAATGTCCATATATGTCTGTTACAACCGGTATCGAATTTGTATTGTGAATAATAAACACTGTAATAAACGTTGCATAAAATGACTGTATGTTTGTACTCATTACGGTATTTCTTAACATGATACGCCTTTAAATGTTTCATTTTCACACCTTTTCCTTTTCATATGAATATTCCATGAATGTAGCCTATACTCCAGATATAATACTGAGCCTAAATAGCCATGCATAACTGTTGTATTGTGCAGACGACCAATGTGCAACTATCTGATATACATAAACATGATATACATAAACATGCTGTATTAAAAAATCCTACTGTCTTATTCCGTTTGAATGTTGACAAAATAATAAGGTCGTTTTTTGTGCTACTGCTAATATTAGCCTATAAGCGTTTTTATTTCCATTCAATATTTAGCCTATTTATGGTAATGACATAAATTACGTCATTACATATGAATAATGCACAAATTATATTGCTTTAATTGCACAATAAAGAAGAAAATAAAATACGTTTGCTTAATGTATTTGCTAATTATAGTTATTAATATGCTCCACATACTCGTATCATATTAAAAACACTGGTGCGTAAAACCCCTCCAAACATGACCGCACTATACCGAGGAACCCAACAGCAATGCAAACTCTGACCTAATCCCACTGTGATATGAACTCAATCAATCCTCGTGCACGGAGGCGAAGCAGCAGCAGGCCCCGTGGCTCGTGCACCGTGCGCGTTCCAGCTAGTGTGCGCGCTCTCGGTATAGTCTTGTGCAGCGGCAGGTCGAGGGGTCTAGTGGAAGAGAGGGTCACATTGATCCGGAGTGTTGAGAGAATGGTGAGTGGTGATTAAGAACGCGGCTAAACGGGCCCCACTTGACTGCTTTATTCGTCCAAGTTGTTCTAAATACACGCTTAGATAACAGGCAGTTCACGCGCGTTTACACGTACGCATATTCATAAGGTCAATAAAATGCGAATAAATAAATAATAAAACATCTGTGTACTGGAAAAAAAAAAACAGAAAAGGCATCAGACTTGGAGATAAAAGCTATGCGTAATAGTATCCATCATGTAGCCTAATATAATCTAGGCTGTGTTGTATGATTAATAATAAGAGCTCCGTGACAAGCATTACATCCCACGATCAGTCTATACAAATAATCAATAGCCCTGACACACTTTCTATTGATTTATATGGATTTATTATGTATAATTAGTCCCCGTTTACTTCTGATCGTGTGAACCAAATAGCTCATGAGATGCGTTTACATTCAGGCTCACATCCAAAGCCATAAATATATGTTCAGAATAAAATATGCAAATAAATGGCTCAACAATAAAATCATGAAAGAAATATATCAAATAAAATAAAACGTATGATCATTTGTCTATCATTGTTATTATTATTTTTTGGCGTGTTGGTTTTTGGCATTGTTTTTCCAGCCTATAATGCAATTTGTAGTCTAAGAATGTCTTATCTGAGGTCAATGAGAGGTTTCATTCGTGAGGAAATAGTTTTTTCTACCATCTCAAGGAAAATGTATAAATAAAATGTCAGTTTACAAATGCATGTTTTTGTGCGTAAAATGTGACATGTGTGCTAAAAACAACGACGGTTTGTGCGTAAGACATGTGAACTCTTCGTGGCATATGTGGCTTATGTGCGCGCTTGCATTGTCTGGTTAAAAGATAAAATAAATCACTCTCTTGCTAGACAATGTTAAATGATAGTGGACTAATAACTGGAGTGAAACGTGGATGGATCACCTTAGCAAGCACCATAGTAGTTACATAAAGAAGAACAAAACCCAGTGAGCACCCATTGATCACACACTACAGTATCCAAAGAGCCGAGCGCAGCAGAATGACGAGCCTTACGCGCACATATTTCATAAGTCCATGCATGCAATCAGCTGAAGCAGGGCTTAACCTGTGGGGTTATGAGAAAGGGTGGATCTCCACCTCCACAAATCCGGCCCCCTCCGCATCCACCCACCCCCAAACTCCAATCCCTCCCACCGGAGAGAAAGGGTTAATTGGAGTAGGAATTTCATCGCACATCTGTCAGATTTTTAAGGCCGTGACGCACTGAAAGCGGAGAGTCAATGTGAGCGAGTAAGGGGGAGGAGGAGGAGAAGCAGAAAGAGTTGGTGCGGAGATCGATGAAGTGGCAGGCAGAGGGAACGAGGAGGAGGAGGAAGAAAATCTCACGAGATAATGAAAGAAAGAGCGGAGAGCTGCTAGTGTAAGAGCAAAACCCCGAGCTACTGTAGATACTGCGAAACACAAGGACCAACACGAACAGGACTAAGAGATAACGGATCTTTTTCCAGTAACGTATTGGTTTGGGCTTTTTGTGCGCTCGCGCTGGGTACGGTGAATGTATCACCCCGGGGCGCAGCGCGGACCAATTGTGTGAATCTGCAGGGCTGCTCCGCGACACAATCGGAGAGATGCACAGGACGGACAACAGCCGAGGACGCGCTCTGAGAAGGGGAGAATAAAGGTAAGCTTACGCACGTTCGCTATCGTTTTTTGGCGTGAAATGTTGTGGATTTTTGACACGTCTTGTGCGGACTTGAATTCAGTGTAGTGTAGAATAGTGAGAAGGAAGCGTAAGGGCTCCTTCGTAACTTTGCATAAATCTCGCATCCCGAGCTGGGCTCTGCTTTGACCGCTTCCCACTAGCAAGTGTTTTGTGCGCTACGTGAGATGCTCGTGTTGACAAAATCAATGTAATTCTATTTCTGTTTACCTTTCTCGCAGTTTGTGCTCGTAAATGTGTATCCCAGTCGTGTATTTCTTTGTGTGCGAGCGTTAAAGTTCAAAACGATTGACTAACGCTGCCCGTGTTGTCTTACGCAGGCACAAAAGCGAGGCTTCTGCCGAGGAGCACTGAGCTGAGCACCAAAGACACAATAAAACAGCACACGCACAAGTAAAGAGGACAAAAACATCGCACCTGCCCTACTGAACCTGTTTACTCGGAGTTTGGAGGAGTTTGAAGACAGTACTTAACGTTATCAGATAATTAATTAGACACCCCATAAGCCCGGAAATCAATTAATTCACCAATCAATAAATCCATAGTCTGGTGTAACAAGAGAGCTTCCAGACTGTTAGCGTGGCGGCTCGACAACAATAACAAGACAAGAGGGCACCAATTTGAAGAATCTGTTTTCGGAGCACCATGGATGCGATAGGGGAGATGTCGCTGCACAGCCACCCAGAGCTGGCGCACAGTCAGGACGGCCGATCCATGCTGCACTCCCGCGATCTCTCTGCCGCGTTCCCCAGGCCTTCCCTCGGGGGTCCTACCATGTCCCTGGAGCCCGACCCCCGTCCCCCAACCTTTGACCACTCCATGTCAGCCCTGGGTTACAGCGGAGATTCCCCTTCCAGTGCGGGCACCACCTACACCACTCTGACGCCCTTGCAGCCATTTGATGATAAGTTCCACCATCATCACCACCACCCATGCCTGCCTGTGAGCAACGTTATCGGCAGCTTTACTCTCATGAGGGAAGACAGGGGACTGGGAGGCAACTTCTACAACCCTTATGGCAAGGATCTGGCAATGTCCCAAAGTCTGTCACCCCCTTCTGCAACCACCTCCATGCATGGGTATGGGGCCCTTGGCAACACGTCCAACACCAACCAAATGATTCATGGCGGGTATGATGTCCACGGAGGAAACATCTTTTGCCGGACATCCGATTTCGCCCGAGAGATGTCGCCCCCGGGCCTTGGAGATGCCTCTCATCAGCTCAACAAAATGGATGCCCACCAGCACCCTGCCAGTCACCACCACCCACACCTTTACAGCCAGCACTACCAGCCGCACCACCACCCCAGCAGCCAGCAGACCACCGCCAAGATGGAGCATCCGGCGTCCTCCCCGGGTGAGGGCATGCTCTCCGGGTCGCAGGGTGGCGCAGGTGCCAATGGAGGTGGCGGTGAAGAGATCAACACCAGAGACGTGGCACAGAGGATCATCACGGAGCTGAAGAGGTACAGCATCCCGCAGGCTATCTTCGCTGAGAGGGTTCTGTGCCGGTCACAGGGCACTCTGTCTGACCTCTTGAGGAACCCAAAGCCCTGGGGCAAGCTCAAGTCTGGCCGCGAGACCTTCAAGAGGATGTCCCGCTGGCTGCAGGAGCCCGAGTTTCAAAGGATGGCCTCACTCCGGCTGGAGGGTAAGATCTGCCTTTACTCTCTTGTCTCCTTCACTTCTTCCACACTGGAAAACATGTGCACTGCAACACACAGACACTGCCTGCACTGTGTTTTCCCTTAACGCCTTCTTTCACCTCAAAAAAAAATCTGCTCTCCAGCCATCAGTATGCAGCTCAGGCAGCACTACAAGAAAACCACAGGCATCATACTCCTGTCTCACTACTTTTTATTATTTAGGTCATTTGCTATAGCACTGTGGACATTAATTCAGCTAACACACAGCAGAGTGTTCCAAAAATGGCAAATATAGTAATGTATCCCATATCAACTTGACAAACACTAACTCAAATAGGCAAGCGGCCACAAACACTGATATAGGAAATGTAATAACAAGCAGACAGTAAAAATTCAAATTGACCTGGCACAAACTCATGTATAAATGGACTCAAATCAGCCATTAAAGCCCGTAGGAGGGTAATAAATACGACAACATGACTACCAACAGCGTGCCAATACCCACAACTAAAGCTATTTTGGGTATGTAGGATCAGCTATTGTGCCAACTATTGTGCCAACTAAGGTGCCAGCTTTGCAAAACGGTAATGACTAACATAGGTAAGGCCTTTATAGCCATATAGAGTAAGCATTGGAAGGGAGAGCATTGGCTGGAAATGGATTTTATGAGGTAATTATGATTAATACTTTCATTTTCTTAAGTTAAGCTATTACTTTGATTGCTTTTTTATATACATTGCATAGGAAAACTCAAGAAATATACTCCTTGCAGTTACTAGTACCGGCTCCTTTGTTGAAGTATTGTTTTGTTCTGGTGGCATTGATTTGCAGTTGCTGATGTGTGCCCATGTTGAAATGGTGTCCAAACAAGATTCTTCCAGTACCATTCATTGTGTTATAAGTTTGACTCCTGGTTTGCTCATACGAATAGATGTATTCAAGTGACCATTTATTTAGCATTTACACCCACACATCTGATTCTTTTTATTGCTTTGTCTATATCTAAACAGCTTGGACAATTCCCATTTAACTGTATTTTGGAGGCCTGGTTGGCCAAAAAGGAGGCCATATGTGCTGCTCCTTTGTTTACCTAGCTCCCAAACAGCTCCTATTGATTTGTACAGTAGCTACAATAAAAAGCCACGGACATTTGCCCTCCTCTTAAATGAACCATGAAGATCAGCTTGAGCAGCGGTTTGGCAATTTAATCGCTTTTGAGTCCGCGAAATAATTTGCGCAGATATGCCATTCTGGAGAGATTGATTAATGCGCTCTGTGATTTATATCCGAAGTGGAGGTTGGCAAAGGGAGCTGATGTAAATGACTTGAGCCCATGCCAGGCGTCTTTTATCAGCGTCGTCACCCGGGCAATTACAGTGGAGCTAAATGTTGATCGCAAGAGGAGTTTGGAGGTTTGCAAGATTGAAATGTTTGGGTATGCATCGAAATGAGGTATTCAACAGGGCTGATTTGTCAACAAGAGGTTTCCCATGGGTGCTGGAGATCCTTGGAAAAGCTTATAAATAATTAGTACTGGAGAGTAGACGTGCACGTATGCCTTTGCAGTATAAGAAGAGTGTACATTTTAAAGGGCATTTACTTTTTATAGTGATTTTTATTATTATTATCATTTTGCCTGTACAAACACCATCTTTAGTAGTAGTAGAAGCATCATTGATTGTCATCTGGCCTCCTTGAAATAGTAGCAGTAGTACTACTATTAGCAGCGCAGCAGTAAGTAGTAGCAGTAAATCTTAAATTATAGTGCACATTTACATCGCAAATCACATTTACTATGGTCAAACTGTCCTATGTTCGGTTCTATTTTTGCATCATACATTTTGCACAAATTAAAATTTATTTTGCAATAATATTAAAATGAGAATTGTTTAGTCAAATCAGTTTTAATAACAGCTGGCATTAAAAACCATTGGATCCTATTATGTTACTGACATTAAAAGGCTAAAACTACTTAACTTGATGTAAATATATTATTATTTTGTGACATGTTAGATATTATATATTTACTATGGCGAGGAGAAACAGAATCAAAGATAAACAGGAAGTTGAACAGTTGCATAAAATCTCTGTTGGCTAGAAGGCTTTGCCAATTGCAATTATCCAGCACCACTGAATTCTGAGCATAGTAATCAATAATTGAACTGGCCCAGCCTTGTTGCCCCGCTGCATTCTGGGTAGGGATGATTTTTTTTGAAAGGCACATGGTAATCTGGCGCTTGACATTTAATATTCTTTGGGGATGTGGATTGAAGACACGACAGAGCGCTGTACAGTGCCATGTTACAGTGTTGTGGGCCCTCGGGGAGCGGGGGGCCCATTTGATACACGGGGCAGAGAAAGAGATCCAAGTGAACACGGTAATATGAGCCGAGCTGGACCGAGCGTGCGCTGCCCACCGGGGGTTTGGGCGAGGGCTGCGTGTCCGCCAGCCTGCCTGCTTCATCAGTGCTACTCGCTCTCTGTCAGCAGCTCCACTGATTAAGCCTGGAGACACAATAGGGTTCATAGGTAATGATTGTGCACTCTTGCAATCCCTTCACAATTATTGATCTTTGATTGTTTGGCTGTGGGAGCACATGTGTACATCCTCCATTCAGCAAAACGCTACGGCAATCAGAGCCATGACACTTAAGATGAGTTATCTGTGAAACTCGTCGCAATTCACAGTAAACTGGTTTTGATGAAATTACAGGTGTTGTTCACTGTATGTAAATGAGCCCAAACAAACACAGGCAGAGACATACATTGATTCACTGTTGATTTTTATGTAATCACATTTATTTGTAACATTGCATAATGGACTCGTCCTTATAAGTTCAACATCGTGAATATTAAAAGGCTTATTCAGAATAGTCGTCGATTTCACATAAAATATTGTAAGATTATTACTATTTACTAGTATACAGTACATTAATTAAATGTATATCATTATTGCAATATTCAAAATTTACTCACGGGTAAAACAAAGAATTATTCAAATCCAGTGTGCTGCATTACAGTAATTGTAACTGGCTTTATTTGATGAAATTATCATTTATATGCTCGATGTAAGTAGATTGCTATCTATTTACACTGAGCATATAAATGATAAACAAAAACAAATGAGGAAAGAATGACAAATGTAGATGAATAAAATGAGCACATTCAGTCAGAATTTGTATTGTGATATCTGGCTCTGAATTAGACCACAAAATGTCTGTTTTAATGGCCATTATTATTTAAGTGTTAAATCTAAGCTTTGATTCTTCATTCATTGTTTGGTGTAATTTTCTTCATTTACTCTGTGTTTTCCTGTTTCCTCCCTTTACAAACACAAACATTATTTTAACGAGTCAGTGCTCCAGATCCCAGCAACCGATCAATCAGACTCATAAAAAATTAAAGTCCCTACACAGAGAAGTGTGCTAATGTTCGACAATGCCCCTCTCCCTCTCTACCAGCGCACTCTGAAACTGCATATTTAGTTCTTGGCAAAGCCACACTTTGGACAGCTCGGCACTTTTCTACATAACCTACTTTTCGAAAGGGGGCTGTTGTTTTTCCCCTCTGGCCAACCCCCTTTTGTTTAATTACAAGCCTCTATTGATTTCCATGGGAAAGAGCAGCATGCCTTGCCCACACACACACCTCGACTCGGCCGCTTCGGCAAAATCAAGACTGGAATTAGAATGCAGCAGGGCCTGTGTTTCTGAGAGGAGCTCCAGAGCTCACCCTGAGCTTCACGCCTCAAGTTTAAGATGATCCAACATAATGCATCTCGCTTAAAGACATAGAAGGCTCTTTAGGGGCCATCAGACGACCGCCATTTCCATAAGTCTGCTATTGAAGATGAAAACACCAGTGGCTGCGACTGCTATCGCTTTACCTCGGAGTGAATTGGGACTCTAGTATTAATCAAATAACCCAATTGATTGCGTTACATAATCATTTGCATGCTGCCCTCTTCACCTCCTAATCGCAGTATATCATTGACTCGTACTGTTCCTTTTGTATGTTTTGGTGATTAGCTCATCAGTTTTAGGAACAGGGTTTCAGGTAGATTCAACACAACTGTTTATCTCAAAGCACTGGCTGCATTTTAATGAGTATCTCCTCACAAAACCATCAGGCCACTGTCCTCCACAATTATACCTCTGACAGTGACATTTCACCTGCTGGTCACAATCACTTAGAACACACATACGAGATACGACACAACCAACTTATTGTATCTCTGCTCACTTAATAAGGTATTCAATAGGCAATCATTTTTGGAGACACTTTTAGGTTTTACTGTTGTTGTTTTTTTGGTTTGTTTGTTTTTTTTTGCTTCCAGTGTAAATGTATGATTACAAGGACTGGACAAATTGAGTGAAATATTAAATTCCACAACTGTAGACAAATTATGTGACTGTGAAAATATACAGTATACATATATATATTTTTAGGTTGAGTTTACCATGCATATTTTACATTCACACTAATAACTGCTAACTACAAAGAACATCTCAACATTGTTTCTAATTGGCTATATCTGGTTAGCTTTTTTGTATGTTTGTTTGTTTTTAATACAGCAAGTCATGGAAAAGGCATTTAGTTAATTGTAAGATTGGCAGAACTGGAATTTTAATTGGATTTGGATTATCAAGCACTACACAACATTCTATTGACAGATAATACATGTATTAATGATATTCTGATATTATTTTTTGCATATAATAACAATAACACACACTGCACCACATGTATCTGTTCATTTGTGTTGATACCATCTGTTATCCTGATCTTATAATATAGTAGATTATAAGGAGATATTTGTAATTTATGAAAACAAAATGCAAAACAAAAGCAAACTGAAAAAGCCACTGACATGATTCAGAAGCAGTTTGAGTGGCCAGATTCTAAAATGCAAAACGTTGCAAAATTGCCAGCCTTTGCAAATAATTAATATTTAATCATTAACGGCCAGGCTCACAATATACAACCATCTGTTTATTTTAGGCAA